TGCTGGGGATTGAACCTATGGCCTTATACATTCTAAGCATCTGCTCTACCACTGAGCTACAACTCAAGCTCCTTCATTAGCCTTTTGGTATAGTGCCAGTGCTTTTTATTTGAATATGGTCTGTTGATTGGAATTCAGCTTTCATTTTTCTTATATAAACTACACTCATCATGTATGATTTCCATTGCAAAACACAAACCGATGTGGGTACAGAATTTTTGTAGAGTTTGTTTTTATCAGGCATTTACAATTTGATTTTTTACCTAATTCAAAAACAAGTTTTAAGCAATTTGCTTCTGCTCTATTTTTCTAAAGCTTTTAACGGTTTTCATTAAAACAATTTTCTTTTAGCACTCAATTAATTAAATATTTAAGCACATAATTATAAATACAACTGAACTAAATAAATTGAGGGCAGAACTGATTCTTGGCTTGTAAGTAACTGAGTTTGGGGGATACAAGTGCAAAAATCTATTATTAGTTGTTTTATTACCTGAAGTATGGCTCAATCAGCCTTTGAACGAGATAGTTTTTATTGATGCTGACACTGAGAGATATCTATAGTGTTTTATGGGAGGAAAAAGCAGGTTGTAAATAGTATGTATGTAAAAATTGTATATATTTGTCTGTACAGGGAAAGAGAATTCTAGGAGGATATTAAATGTTGACATCAGCTAACAATGGTCGTGGTTTTGGAGGATATTTTGAAAGAATCTTCTTTGTAGATTTTTAAAATTTTGTATTTTTATTTGTTTAAAAAGAAAAATATTAAGGAGCAGCTCTAATACTGATTCTTAGTTGTAGTGCCCAGACAGATCCAGAATGACAGGGAAATCCTTCCATGTATCATTCTCCCTGTGAGATTCCCTTCAACCAAATGCCGTTCACAGGTTCAGGCTCTGTGTTAGTTACTCTATTCTCTGTGTCACATGAGTATTTATGCTTCAAGTGAGTTTCTCTTGACATTTTCCACAATGTTGGTGACTTTTACAAGTCAGCTTGGTTTCACCCTTTCACAAGATGATGGGAGGAAAGTATAAAATGCAATGTCTTGGGCCATATTATTCGTTCTAGAAACCTCTTTTTTCTTCAGAATTTTCTTTTATATTATTGATCATTTTGACCATGTGTTCTTTAATTTTCTAAGTTCAGAAATAAAATCCTTGCAGAATTCTGATTGATATTTACCTGGCTTAATTAACATGAGGTAAAAGTATGCACACATTACTTTTTTTCTTTTGGTGCAGTTATATCATACATTTGTTTGTTTAAATCTTCTTTCACATACATATAACATTTTATAGAACCTTTTAGTGTTCCTGCAAACCATACACCCTTCTCTCTTGTAATTACTTATATGTCATTTCTAATCTTTCCTTACTGCCTTTACTTCAAGTTCGTTCCCACTGTCTTGCCACTTGCAGAGTAGCTTCTGCCCCTCTATAGAGTTTGACTAAATCCAGGTACTTTGCTTCGTTTTTATACTCCTCAGCTTACTGAGATGCATAAGGTAGTTCTGACCATTCTCTTTTTTCTCTTTTCAAAACTCCTTTCTGAGTTTTTTGTGCCTTTAACTGACTCCTGTCCCTACTTTTCTGTCTTTCCTTATTAACCATAAGATCATCATCACATTAACTTGGATCTCTCTCCAGTGCTAATAAGATTTTCTGTAATGATGGAAATAATATATGACTGTGCTTTCCAGTACAGAAGCCACTAGCCACATTGGCCAGCCACATTGTGTCTAGTGTGATTGAGGAGATGAATTTTTAAGTTTTTAATTTTAATTAAATATTTAAATGCCACATATAACTAGTGGCTGCTATATTGGACAGTATAGCCCTACATAGTCTTTTAAAGAAGGGGACTGAATCTGTAAGTCTGTGTCATTGGTTTGGCTACTCTTTGCAACAAAATTTGATGTTAGCAATTAATTTTCTTTTCCTTCTTAAGATTTTCCCGCAAGTCCCAGACTTTTCTCCCCAGACTTCCCACCAAAATCTCCTGAGTTTCATGCCAGTAATGTAATGATGATTTACTTTGTCAATATAGTTGTCCTTTAGTGCCTGCAGGTTTTTGGATCCAGGTCCTCTACGGATTCCAAAACACATGGAAACTCAAATCCTTTATATAAAATTATATAATATTTGCATATCACTTATGCACATCCTCATATAATTTGAATCATCTCTGTATTACTTATAATGCCTAATACAAAATAATGCTATGTAAATAGTTGTTGGAGTATATTGTTTGGCAAACAATGACAAAAATGTCTACGAATGTTTAGTACAAATACATTTTTTCTAATATTTCAATCCACAGTTAATTGAATCCATGGATGTGCAACCTTGCAGATACAGAGGGCTGGCTGTATATCAGTTTGTCTGTTGCCCACCAGATCAGCATATGGGAGACTAGGTCCATGATATAGTAAGAACTTTTCCTCTTCTAATGTCTTAGATCAGCCTACTTACTGTATGGTTCTAATTGGATTCCAAAGTTGATCATACTGTGATTCTAACTTCTATCCAGTTATACAATATAACTAGCTGGGAATTACATATCTCTAATATCAGTAACATTGCCTGGATTCATTTTAACCCTAAAGAGTTTACTTTTCCTATTTTTTGTCTTGTCACTTGACAGCCTGTTGCATAATCCCTATTCAAACATTGATGTAATAATATCTGAGTCTACTAGTGATGTGGGTACAAGAGTTACTAAGTCCTGAATTATTTTATGATAAATATCACTAAGTATCTGTAATAAGCCCAACACTGGTGGATGTGTTATAAATATTCTTGTTCTCTTATCATTCTTGCAAGGTAACTTCATTTTGTCAAATAGAAAACTGAGACTCAAGAAGTAGGTTAATCAGTTTGTTGAGGGTAGCTACCTAGATACAGAGATAGGATTCAATCCCATCCTTGTCTGGCCCCAAAGAGTGTGTTGTTTTACTGTGCCACATGGGTGTCCATTTGATTCTTTTCCAGTTTACCTGAAACCATATTTCCTTTTTCTCCTCAGTTACTGATGTAGGTGAATTTCCTTTTCTTTTTTGTTAAATGCTATCATGACATCATTGGCTCCTAAGTATTTCTCTACTCCATCAAAGTGAATATGTCTTCCACACATACAATTATTATTTCCTGCTCTCTACTTTCCCCAGGACATTCTCCCATGAGGAATTCATTCCCTTTCAGTATTCATATGCCTTTTTTAAAGTGGTTGGAGTTCTAGGCGCCTCAGAATCCCCCAGGTTGAAAAATACCTGTAGTCTTCTCCCTTTAGGCTTCTTTTACTTGGCATTACGCTTAGACATTGTATAAACATTTTTATTTTATAAATTTGTCTGGAGTAGAGAAAAATTTGTTATTGGTAAGAAGGAATATAATGGGCTTGGACATTGCTGTCCTATAACAGGACAGGAAGTCTGGGAGAGTGGGCAAGCGAACAAAAAGAAAGAATGAAGAAAGAATGAACAATGTTAAGTACCTACCGGAAAATAAGTGAGCAAAGCCCTCTCAGGCCTGGGCTGATATAGGGGCCCATGTAGGAGAGGATCCAAGGCTGTGCACAGGAGAACTGACGAGGTTGGGGGCTTTTCCTGGGTGGTGGATGTGTTGGAAAGAAGGAAGATGCAGACACAGACATCTTCTGTTTTTTGACTTTCAGTTTTGTGCTTCCATAGTCTGGAGGAAGATTTCCTTTTCAACAGATAGGAAACTGTTTTGGGGAAGAGTTCATCTCATTAACCCCAATGTGGTAATATATGCAGTTCTAAAATAATCCCACATTATATCCTAATTTGAAAATGGCTCAGTTAGTAAAATAGTTGTCATATTTTAGAAGCCTGATCATAACCTTGAAAACCAAGCTATAGCCTCCAGAAATTATTCTTTAGTGAATTCTGATGTCTTTTTTCTTAACATCTATTCTAATGATGATCTATCTCATATTAGCTAGTCTTGCATTATGTATCATGTTGAATCATTGTATGCACAAGTTTTATCTCTCTTTGTAGAGTTTATAAAAGGGAGGACACTATCTCAGACTTTTTTCCCCTCTACTAGGTCCTAGGCATATAGTCATAGATTCTGTATATTTAATATATTGTCTAAAATTAAATTAAATTAAAAGGATTTTCTTATTTTCCTCTTTTTTGAGGTCATTTTTAAGAAAAGCTTTTCTTTCACCTTGGTTCAACCAACATCCTTTCCTGAAAGTATTGTCTACTTGGCAGGCATCATTTTTCTCTTGATGAGAAAAACTGATTTCTTCTAGATACTTTAGAAAACAACAATAATTTTCCTCTGGACCCTGATAAAATCTTAGAAGTTTTTGAGCAGCATAAGTGGAAAATATTACAAGATATTAATCTAGCAGCATCCATTCATCAAGATGTCATTGCTCCAGGCATGACATGCCACTATAAGAAGAAAAAGGAATAAATATAAGTCCATACCCTCGTGGAACTTTCAGTCATATGAGTATCAGTCAGGGTGGACTGGAGTCTTTAAAGACTAGAGGCAGAGAAAACAATCAAGGCTTAATCAGGGCTGGGGCTGTGGTTCAGCAGTAGAGCACTCTCTTCGCACATGGGAGACCCTGGGTTTGATCCTCAGCAAAAAATAAATAAGTGAAAAAAAATATTAATAAGGAAAATAAAGGTATTGTGTCCAACTACAACTACAAAATAAATATTAAAAAAGACTTAATCAGTCATCCTCAATTCCTTCTCTTTCTGGCATTTAGCTTTGTCTGCCTCTTATGCCCTACTTTGTCCTGATTTGCTATCACTGCGTCCCCAACACATATGCTGTCTTTGATCAACCTCTTTATTCTTTGTATTTTGTTCATATTGCATGGCCATATTTGGGAGATGCTAGAACCATGTACTTTATTCCTTCTTTTCCCTCAATTAAATTTTCCCTAAAGGTTCCTTTCTCCTAGAAAAGTGAAAAAAAGAAGACATTTATTTTCTTGATATTTTTCAGACTGGGAGTCATGGTGTGAAATGAAGGAATTGTCTCCAAAATTGTTCATTGATGAGGAAGAAATATCCCAGTGCATGGTAACAGAAAGACTCACAAGTCATGGCCTTGAATGCTGCAGTTTCAGAGAAGGCTGGAAATATGAGGGGTTTGAGTGGTATCGGGGAAATCAGGAGAGCCATTTCAGGCAAATGACAACTCTTAAGGACATCTCTACTGGGAAAAGACACAATGAATATAATAATTCTGGGAGAAGCCTCCCCCTGAAGTCAGTACTGTTAGCACAACAGAGAGTTCCCACAGTAAAACAAGCCCATAAATTTGATATATATGATAAATTCTTCACCCAAAATTCAGTTATAATTGAATATGAAAGACTCCATGCTGAGAAGGAATCTTTGACAGATAATGAATATGAAGAATTGAATCAAATTACTCACTTTAATAAAGATACACGAATTCCTTCTGGTGAGAAACCTTATAAAACTAATAATTTTTCAAATTTCTTAAGTATCCACTCATTATTTACTGAACATCCAACTCAACATAATCATTTTGGAAAATTACCCCATGAATATGATGAATGTGGTGAAGTCTTAAGCTGTTACTCATTCTTTAATCAACCTCAGAGAATTCACAGTGGAGAGAAAGCATGTGCATGCAATGACTGTGGGAAAGCCTTTAGCCATGACTTCTTTCTCAGTGAACACCAAAGAACTCATATTGGAGAGAAGCCATATGAATGTAAAGAATGTAACAAAGCCTTCAGGCAGAGCGCACACCTGGCTCAGCACCAGAGAATCCACACAGGAGAGAAACCCTTTGCATGCATTGAATGTGGGAAGGCCTTTAGCCGTTATGCCTTCCTTGTTGAACATCAGCGAATTCACACAGGAGAGAAACCATATGAATGTAAGGAGTGTAATAAAGCCTTCAGACAGAGCGCACACCTTAATCAGCACCAGAGGATTCACACTGGAGAGAAACCCTATGAATGTAATCAGTGTGGAAAGGCCTTCAGCAGACGCATAGCCCTCACTCTTCATCAAAGAATTCACACAGGAGAGAAACCCTTCAAATGTAATGAGTGTGGGAAGACTTTTGGCTATCGCTCACACCTTAATCAACATCAGAGAATTCATACCGGAGAAAAGCCCTATGAGTGCATCAAGTGTGGCAAGTTTTTCAGGACTGACTCACAGCTTAATCGACATCATAGAATTCATACTGGAGAGAGACCATTTGAATGCAGTAAATGTGGGAAAGCCTTCAGTGATGCTTTAGTTCTAATTCACCATAAGAGAAGCCATGCAGGAGAGAAACCCTATGATTGTAGCAAATGTGGGAAGGCCTTCAGTTGTGGCTCCTACCTTAACCAACACCAGAGAGTTCATACAGGAGAGAAACCCTATGAATGTGATGAATGTGGGAAGGCTTTCCATCAGATCTTGTCCCTTAGACTACACCAGAGAATTCATGCTGGAGAGAAACCCTATAAATGTAATGAATGTGAGGATAATTTTAGCTGTGCCTCAGCTCTCAGACGACATCAGCGAATTCATAATAGAGAAACACTATGATAATAACAAATATAGGAAAGAAATCATTTAGTCACCATCCAGTCCTTATCGAATATCAGTGAATTCTGTTTGATTAGTAAAGTCTACTATGTAGTCCATATGAAAAAGCCTTTAGTACACCATCATCCATTATTTGAAATGACTGGAGTAGTAGACTTTCTCCCCTGCTCAGTACCCCACCCTCAATTTTTTTGATTCTGATGAAACTGTTATTCAAGGACAACAGTAGATTGGTCACAGGCTGGCCAATTATTTCCCCTCAACCTAGTTATTAATAAAATAGCCCCTTCTGGACCAATACAGTCCTTGAAGTATTGTTAAGAGTAGTAAAAATTATAATTTCTATTTTTGGAATTTCAAGCTTTGAGGATTTAATGGGGTTAAAAACTCACCAGTAGCCTTTGCCATCCCATGTGGAAAGCCTTCCCAAAGAGATTTCTAATAGAGGAAAGTGGACATGAGAAACAGAAATCTGATGACATTGTTTGATCTGGAACCGTCATACATGTTGACTGCACATCCTTTACTTTTGTTTTCATGATTCAATAAATTTCCTTTTTTTTTTTTTGCTTATGGTAATTTGAATTAGATTTTTGCCTCTTGGAATTAGAATACCAACTCATATACCTTATATTTGTAATACTTAATCTTTTATATGGCATAATCCAGGCACAATGGCACATGCCTATAATCCCAAGGATTTAGGAGGCAAAGGATTGAAAGTTCAAGGCTGGCCTCAGCAACTTAGGGAGAGCCTGTTTCAAAAAATAAAAGAGAAAGTGCTAGGGATGAAGCTCAGTGGTAATGCACCTCTGGGTTTAATTCACAGTTCAAGAAAAAATATAGGGCTTATCCAAAGGAGAAACATCATATAACAATTATGTGAAAATTGAGTACACAACCTTCTGTAAGCTGAGATAATTGTTACAATTTGTTGATAAAAATTTAATGTGAAGCTGGAGTTGTAGCTCAATGGTATGGCTCTTTTTTTGGAATGTTTGAGTCCCTGGGTTCGATCGATCCTCAGCACCACGTTAAAAAAAAAAGATTTGACAATTAAAAAAATTAAAAATTTAGTGGATAATAGTCTTTTTCACAAAAAGAGTGAAAACTTTAAAATTCCTTAATAGGCTTTCCATAAAGGAGTTAAAATAGTTTGTAGAAATTATGCAACATAGGCCTGTAAAGAAAGACCAGAATCTAAGAGAATTATGAATCCATCGATTGAATGAATGACTCCCATCTTAAGGGAATTATTTGATTTTCTTCTTTCAATATGGGTTTAAACATACTATGGACAGAATATGATAAGGTAGCATTATAAAAGGGGATTGTTTGTGGGTGGGCTGTAACCTTGATTTATAGATAACTTCTTTCAAATTACAGAAAGAATGAGCCATTTTCAACAAATGATAAGACTTAAGCATTTGATGCCTAAAACTTTTAGACAACAAATCATTACTATTCTTCAGAGTGTTGGGGAGGATGAGTATATGAGATAATATATTCATGTTATATCTTTTTCAAAAATATTTTTTAGTTTTTGATGGGCTTTTATTTATTTATATGTTGTACTGAAAATCAAAGCCAGTGCCTCACACATGCTAGGCAAGCTCACTTCCACTGAGTACAACCCCAGTCCTCATGTTGTATCTTAATGTACATAGGGAAACAAACTTTGGTGAAATGGGAACTTAGTTATTTTGAACAGTTGGAACCATTTAGAATCTGTAAAAGAATATTTATATTTTAAAAAAAGATTAGAACAGACATCAAGCAAGAATGGAAGATTTATATATGTGCATGGCATGGAGTAAAACTGATTACTATTTTCACAATTTAACAGTCAATTTATACATATTCCAAATTCAGAAAATTAATTTTCTTAAATACTGATAATTTCACTTTATACAAAATAAACTACAGATTTGGTATGATTCAGTAATTCAGACCTTAAACAGAAACAAGTATGATTATTAAGCATTGCCCAACTTATATCTAACCTAAAATGGATTAATATCTTATGTTTAATTCATGTCATTTGTCTATTTTCTATTTCCTAGAGGTACAGGAATACTTATTTTTTGAATACTTAATAATTTTTAAGTATTGAGTAGTAACTTATTTTGGAAAATTTCCCAGGGTGTACAATTATATTATCAGGCTTTAAGAAAAAAGAATAATGACTCCGACCAGTGAAGAGTCTGAATTATTCACCGATTTTTGGTCTAAATGTGGCAGCTGATTTCTGACTCAGAGGTGACATAAACCCAAGCCTCTGGTTAACCTTTTGTTTCTACAGGTGAACTTCACTTATAATGCGGCTAAATTTTTTTTTTACCTGCCTTTTTAGCATAGGTGTTTGTATGTTGTAATCAGAAGTTTCTCTTCATCATGAGGTACAAATTTTGTTTATCTGCAACTATTCTTCTTATTATCTCATGTTGATACATTAACTTCATCTTTTGGCATCAGTGGAAATTTATGCTTTATTAGTATGTGATTGTTATTAGGATCCTCTGAAATTTGTGTTTATGTGAGTATTATATGAAGTTGACTTTGGAGTTAAGACCTGAGACAGATAATAGACCCATATGTCCACACTATGTATCCAGACACATATGTAGACATATTTATATACCTTATAAAATTAATGTAAAGGAAATTCATATTGGTGTTTATATACATAGGTGTATTTTTATATTTTTAATATTCTGCTAACTTCATGCTTTTATTATGTCTAGGTATTTGAATATTGCACTTTAACATTTTTATTTTTTATTTAATTTTTAATACATTTTTAGTTGTTTATGGACCTTTATTTTATTCATTTATTTATATGCAGTGCTGAGAATTGAACCCAGTGCTTCACACATGCTGGGCAAGTGATTTACCACTGAGCCATAACCCCAGCCCAACATTTTTATTTTGAGTCAGATGAATGTGTGACCTTTCACAATCATAACAACTTTTATTTAATTGGATATACTTTTGATGCTAAATTGTCAAGACATAGACACTCTTGGTCACATTGAGGGAAATGATTCCTTCCTCAGCAGTGCTTCACATCTTGGCATGGATTCTTACTCTGGCAATAATTTGTTTTTCTGGACCCATTCTCAGTGTTTCCCATCCAAATTCATGAAGAATTTAGGTTTGGAAAGAACAAGAAGATATAAAATTAGAAATAGGAGTTTCCCCATAAAATAGGAAATTTTTTTTTCTCTCAGTAAAATATCTGGCTTAAGGCTGGGGCTGTAGCTCAGTGGCAGAGTGCCTGCTGGGTTTAATTCTGAGCACTGCAAATAAATAAATAAAATGAAAGTCCATCAACATCTAAAAATTTTTTTAAATGACTGTTTGAAAACTGATAACTTAAAATTGGTTCAAGTAACTGTAAATGAGCCCCAAGGAAGTGTGACCACATTTCTTCACATGTATGTCATATGCTATCTCCCTCATACAGAAGATTTTTTCTTTTCAAAGTATTTCAGATCACTTTTTCTAAGAAAACAATGCAAAACTTTGTGTAGTTTATTATTTTCCATAAAGTCTTGGTCCTTTATGCTGTACTGTGTACATGTGGTACTGGGGATTGAACCCTTGGCTTTGTGTATGTTAGATAAGCACTGTACCCCTGAGCTACATCTCCAGCACTCCTGGGCCTTTTTAGCAGCTCCTATACTTGAATGGTAGGACTGTGCAGGGATTTTTAACAAATTTGCTGCCATTTTGACCTAACCCTTTTTAGAGACAGCTGGACTAAATGCTTCCCTTTAAGTACATGCTTTCACATTGATTTTTAGTGTCTACTTACACATCAATTTGCTATATCTAATAAGATTTTCTTCTTTATTCATAGAGCTCAGGTGGATAAAATTAGATGGTGGATAAAATTCTTTGAAGCCATGAGATGATTTCCTGTACTTCAGTGATAAGGAGGATGAGTTACCTTCTTGGTCAGCATTTTAAAAGGTATTTTCACAGAAACTCTTTACATATTCTTCCAGAAATAGTAGTGGAAGTATCTATTTTTTTGATTATTGGCCTAAGTATGGGCTTTGGAATAAGACCTATGTATAGTGTTAACCCTTTAGGTTAGGAGAACTTGAAGTGATTTGCTTTCTTTCAGGCACAGTTTAGTCATCTGAACAACCAGAATAATTCCAGCCTTTTAAGATTTTGTGAAAATTTCTTCAAAGAATGTAACATATACAAAGAGTTAACACAGAAATTACTAATGATAAAATCAAGCACAGGAAATTGAATGGTCTGAGAGATAGTTGCTAATGGGAGATAAAACTGTGAATTCATCCCTTGTATATGGGTTGAATCCCAAACAATGGTCCTAGGCCCTTCTGTACAAACCTGAAGTTTCTCAGAGCTCTCTGTGTGATGTGATGATTTCCAATTCTCCACATCAATAACACTTCACTTTCCTTTTAAAAAATCATAGCCATCCTATTACATGTGAAATGATACCTGTGGTTTTGATTTGCATTTCCTAAAGATTAACTAGTTAAACATCTTTTCATATGCTTGTTGGACACTGTGTATCTTCTTTGGAGAAATGTCTAGTCCAGTTCTTTGCTCAAATTTTAATTTGGCTGTTTGCCTTGTTCAGTCTTAAAGAATCCTTAATATGAATTAGATACTAAAACCTCATCCTGTATTTAGATTTAAGATTTTTTTCTCCCATTTCTGTAGGTTATCTTTTTACTTTCTTGATAATATCCTGGGTTGCAACTCTAGGAAGTATTGTTTCTGCTTCTGCTGCCCTCCCTGCCGTGTTGGCTTGGATATGAGAATTTTAAGAACCTTCTTGCCCGAAAGATGAAAAACATTTATTCAGGAGGGCAAGGCTATCTTACCAGCTGGGGATTGCCCACCCGTTACGTGAGGGAGGAATAAAGATACGTTATTCAGGTCACTGTATTTTGGGATCTTTATTATGTCAGCTCAATTTACTCCCTAATATATACAATCCAGTGTGCCATACAAATATTACTATTTTCCACTTGTGTCATGAGGATGGTTGGGAAGCATTGTGACTTCCCCAAACTTTGACTTCTTTTGCTAGCCTCTCCAGTGCCACCAGGAGAATCTTGGTCAGCTTTTTAAAAGAAATTTGCACAGAAACTCTTCACATATTCTTCCAGAAAGAGCAGTGAAAGTATATACCACTGGAAGTAAATACCCACCTAAGTATTTAGCTCATTCTCCTCCCAAATAGACTTTTGCAGAAAAGTTGAGTTTACAGTGGGTATTGGCCATAGGAAGCCATTGTCTTTCCTTGGGCAGCACCTTGGGTATATTTTGGTGAACCCCATGGCTGTAAGTTCCCCCAAAAGCTTCCCTCTGCCAACTCCCCTAGGGACCTAACACCTGTGAAAGTCTGAACCTGCAACATGGGTGCCCCGACCTAACGTCCCCTCAAGGGTTCTCTTCCTCGGAGACAGGAGTTCCGCGTCCTCCAAGGCGCCAGGCATCTTCATTGTTTCCGCATCTCTCACGAGTCCCGTTCTCTTGCTCCTGTTGATTTGAGGCAAATAATGACCCCGGGAAAACCAAGCCTCCCGACGTTACCTTCCAGCGTCTGGGCCTGGACCTAACGCAACAAACGGCCGGAATTAACGTTAACTGGCGACTCGGCTTGCTGATCCGCTTGGACGAGCTTCGCCAGGGCTCCTCTTCCAGGAGCCTGGGGCTTCCTGGGACGGCGCCCTGGCGCTTGCTGGTGGACATGAGGTCCTTAGAAACCCTGTGGAGCCTTTTCCTTTCCGCCTCTGCCCAGGTGCCCTCCGCTTCTCCCCTCGCCCCAAATCCCCTCTCGGCGAAAGCAGCCGCTTTGGTGCGTCCCGCTGGACAGTGGGACCGGGCGGGGCCGTCCCCCAGGACGCGGCGCTCCGAGCGTTTCCCGCCCTCCCCGGCCCGGGCTACGCTTCCCAGACGCCACTGCGGCTGATAGTCCCCGCGACGTGGCGGCTCTCTCGGGGCGAGGGAGTGGTTACCGGCGACGTTGGCCCGTGCGGTGGGGCGGGCAGGGCACCAGGTGGGGCGTCCGGGTGCTCCCGGCGGGCCAGCCGTGAGGACCTGGGAGAGTCTGAGCCCGAGAGTGTCGGGGCGCGTGAGTGTCCGCGTTCGCGTGGGTCTGGTTTGGCCGCGCGTCTTCCTTGGCTCTGCGCGGTCCTGTGGGGCCGTGAGGCCTGCAAGTGGGTCCTAATCGTTTGTTCGCGGGAGGCTACGTGGGACCTAGTGTGTGCGTGACGTGACTGTGACTAAAGCGGGATGATCGCGTGCTGTGTGACGCTGCCGTCAAGCTGGTGAGCTGCTGTGACCAAGGGCGGCTGTGCCCCTGTGACAGGGAGATTTGCGTGGCTGCTGCTGGAGTAACCCTTAGTAACCTCGAGCTTCTGTGCTGTTAGTGAATAGGAGCATTTTCTTTCTCTGCCTCAAATAGTGGCAGACTCTGCCAAAGAAGGGTAGAGTGCCTTAAAAAATCGGCCTCCTCGGAAGCTCCGAGCATTCATCTCTGTGTTCCTGCCCCTTCCAGTGCCATGCCTTTAGGTTGGTACAAGCAACATCATTGTCTATTGTTGGAGTATGATAGTAGCCTTGCAGAGCCATTTTTTAAGGACTCAGATGTCTACAGCGGTGAATCCCTGCTTCTTTCTTCTCCTTAAAGAATTTCTGGAAAACTCACTTCTGGGAGAGAAGACAGGATTTTGAGTCTCATGTTGAAGTTTCCGAGCACAGAGATGACTTCATGAGTTGCAGACTTGGTCTTGTAATGAGAATCCTTAAATGTGACTCCATATAACTTAGAAGAAAAGGCAAATATTCTCCTATAGGCACGTTTTCTTATGGAAAGAAGATTAGTTTGGGAACTGGAGAAACCTGAATTCTATTCTGGGTTTCTTTGCCTACAAACAATATGACTTTAGATAAGTTAGCTTAACCTTTCTCAGTATCCATCATCTGTAAATAGGAGGGAATAGTTAACATTGCACTTCTGTGTCTTTATTTTTTAATTGTTTGAAGATCAGATGAGGTAATTATACAAAATCTTTACCTACTTGTTAGTATCATTAAATCATTGCTATTAGCATTATGAAGTTTACTTAAACACAATCCTTGAGCATCTCTGAGGTATATTTGCCTTTTTCAGAAGAGGCAAAGTTGTGTTCTCCCTCTCTTGTATCCTAAGGCAAGTTCTATGGCCTCAAAGCCAGGCACAGCAGCATGCACCAGTGGTCCCAGAGCCAGGAGGCAAGAGGACTGCTTGAGCCCAACAGTTTTGAGTTCAATTTGGGAAACAGTAAAATCCCATCTCCAAAATAGAAAAAAAATGCAAGCTGTTTCTTAGTTTGAGAGACTCAACCCCAGCTCTGGAGGGTTTATAGACTCAGGAATCTTCATATATATGTATCAGAGGCTATGGAAGGAAGCCATAATGAGTTTTAAACTATCTGTAGGGATGTGCTGATTTTGATGAGGTTGTTGTCAACCCAAGTATTATCAGGAGTCTTTGAGAGGAGAAAAAAGATGACAGTGTTCCTCCCCAGCTTCTGCCCTCACTCCTGGTAACTTCAACGGTGAGAAACTCCTGTTCCATCAGTTGAAGTTTGAATTGTCCAAAGTATCCTAATGGAGATGAATCCATTGCCCTTGCTGTGTTCCTTGAACTTTCTGCTGTGATCACTCAATCCAGGCAATAAGGTTAGGTCCTGTGCAAAGTATGCATGTTATACAGCACCGTCAACCTCTACTCCTGTACAGGGCTGTTGAGAACTCCTGATGTAATCGAGGTAATTCTGGTATCCTGACATTCTATAGCTTTCTTCCCCTTTCCCACAGGGTTCTAAGGGAGGTAAATACTCTGTGGGGAAGCATGAGGAGCTATGTAAGGCGTAACAGCTAAATGGATCACAAACCACCCCTGGGCAGAGTGTTTCAGAGTGGAAAAGAGAAAAAGAATGTTTGGGTAAACCAAGATTGGGATGCCTCAGCCATAGCCTAGTCAGGTGACCAACTGGTCCTCCATTTTCTCCACATTTAGTATTTATCAAGATGCATTGCAGTGCTGTTTCTCTTTCATTAGTGAACAGTGTTGAGTGTCCAAATGATTCTAGTGAGGCCAGAATGTCATCCTACTAACAATCTATCTTGATGCCCCTTCTTTAACTGTTATTTTAGTTTTCCATTTTGTTGTTCAATGGTTTCATTAGTTTGTGGGTATGGAGCATGTAAGGTCCAACACATGGTGTGGGATTATGCCCACTGTTGTATCTCTTGTTTGTTAAAATAAGTATACTTTTCTGCCCGAAATCCTTTAAAATACCCAAATGGTAGAGATTTTGTCTAAGGTAACTCAGTGGTACCAACATCATATACCATATGCAGATGGTTTTATGATTTAGACATGAGGTGTTCCCTCATATCTCATGTGTGAGAGACAATGCAAGTATTTTCAGAGATGAAATTACTATAGATTACTCAAGGTGTAACCTAATCAGTGGATTAAAACATTGATATGGGTTAACTGGGTGGTAATTGTAGGCAGGTAGAAGTGTCTGGAGGAAGCAGGTTACTGGAAGAATCCCTTCAGGGTTTATATTTTGTCCTTGATGAGTATAGCTCTCTCTGCTTCCTGTTTGCCATGTCCTGAGCTGCTTTCCTCTGCCACACCCTTTCCCTATGATGTTCTGCCTCACCTTGGGCCCAGACCAATGCAGTCAGCTGTCTATGGTCTAAGACTTCTGAAACTGCGAGCCAAAATAAACTTTTCCTCCTCTAAGTTGTTCCTGTTGGTATTTTAGTATAGCAATGCAAACAGACTAAAACATGAATTTCCAGGTCATAGTAGATGTCAATTCTTGTGAGGCACCAGGAATTCATAACTGGTGTTAAAGGTCCAGTGTGATCAAATGCCAGATCCAAGTTGGGCTGATGCCCTTGCTGTAACCTAATTCTCCATGTTGTATTATGCCAGGGTAACCAGCACCCAGTAAAACAGATTCCTGCTCAGAGGTATGAGCCACCTGGGAAAATAAAAAGTCTGAAATAATCAGTAAGAAACAAAGACAAAGCCAGAAATTAGATTTAAAAAAGGGGGCATCTGATGGGTCTTCCAGCCCTGATAGGAACTGGAACTGAATTACTAAAAAGCCCCCAATCCTTTATTTAAGGGGAAGTACATCAAAGGTTTCAGCATGGCAGGGGTCTTGAAGTAAACAGTTTGTTTGGTGCTTGGCAGGTTATGCCCATCTCTGGACGCCTGTTTGATCCTAGGGCTGTGAGCTAAGGCAGGGTGCCAGCATGCTCTGAGCTTTCTTGAAATGGGGAATCTCACCCAGTAAAAGCAGAAAAGCAGCTTCCCTGCCTTATTTTTGGCTCAAACAAACCCATAATTTATATATGGCTTCGGACCCTGTATCTCTTCTCACTTATTGGCAGAAATCAAGATTGAATCACATCCTTGGCTTCTGTATCTTTAAGGATTACTCCCCTGGGTTTGGCCCATTCCTCAATTTGAGGTGGACTTCCATGACTGGTTCACTGATGCACCTGGCTGGTGACACTGCAGTTGGTACACAGCCTCTGTTAGCTTAAACTCCCTTTATGTTCATGTTTGAAAGTCCCTCCTCAGTGAGCATCCACACAAATGTAGTTGTTGTACAGTCCTTGTAGTTGTGTAGTCCTTGTTGTTGTAGTTGTTGCTACAGTCCTTGTTCCCACACAGGATGCTGTGGTTTGAAGGAATATTCCCACAATGTCCATAGGTAAAGGCTTGGTCCCAAGGATGGTGGTATTGAGAGGTTCAGTGTACCCTTATCAGGTGGAACCTAGTGAGAGGTGCTTAGGTCATGGTAGGGAATGCCCCAAAGGTGACTGCTGGATCCAGGCCATCCTCTCTCTGCTTTCTCTAAGGTGCTCTTGCTACCCCTGGAACATAGACCTTTCTTGACCTCATAAGTAGCTTGTATTGCATATTTCATTGTAGTAATTCAAATTTCTGAATAATCTGATATTTTTCTTGCTAGTCTCCTGACCAAATGGCTCGAACATTTACATTGGTTCAGGAATAAATAGAGATGCAGCAAGACATATCAGATGGGGTAACTCAGTTATCACCACTGCAGCAACTCAGTGCCCTGGGTGGGGTATCCTTATCCACTTTTGAATGAGGTGGCCTCTACCCAAGGGGCAGATGATACCAGTGGCCTGGTAGAATCCATCACCTTTCAGTTGCCCAGAACCACTGATAAACTAGACCATGTATTCATCCATACTTGGTCAAATTGTTTCTATCTCCCCCAGGTAGCTATGAGAGAGGCCAGGGCATCTCCTATGAGATGCTTTCTAGCCACCTGCTTAGGGGTCCTGACCTATCTTGGATTTTTCGTTTTTGGTACTGGAGAGTGAATCCAGGGGTGCTTAACTACTGAGACACCTCCCCAGACTGGTGTTTTTTGGCATTTTATTTATAATCAGGATCTCACTGTGTTACTTAGGGCCTTGCTAAGTTGCTGAGGCTGGCTTTGAACTCACATTCCTCCTGCCCCTGTCTTCCACGTTGCTGGGATTATAGGTATATACCTCAGTAACCAGCTAATGGCTAGTTTTATTAGTGGGATTGGTAAGTACACAGGAAAGGATGGGAAGCTCAGGTCTCAGAGTTAAATGAGATGCTTTTCTGGTGAGATATTCCATCTCCATCAGATTCTAGGTGCAAGTGAGATGCTTCCATATTTCTTTTTAAAAAGACTTTGTAGTTATAAAATGTTTTATTTGTTTATTTTTTTATGCAGTGCTGAGGATTGAACTCAGTGCCTCAGATGTGATGGGCAAGTTCTCTACCACTGAGCCACAAACCCAGCCCCAAAGGGCATATTTCTAGGAAGGTTCAGGCCACGGGCATTTTCCAAATCTGCACACCCCAGTTGACAGTTTCCTGCTGCCACAGATTCTAATCAGAATGCATAAGGGTTGTGGACACCTATATTTCCATTGGGCTAGAAGGCTGCAACAAAGTCTCAAAGGCAGTGAGTGACTCCACCATGGCCTGTTGAATGGCTTCCAGTCTTGATGTTGAGCTTCAAAGATGGCTGCCTTTCATGTCACCTTGAAATATCACCAGAAGCTATCTAGATGGAGCATGCACTATCCTCAGTATCAGAAGAGGCCTACGTGCTGTTGTGCTTCCTTCTTATTACTGGGTACATTCAGGAAGAGGAAATTCTGTTTAACTTTCTCTAGAATATTCTGTTTTTCCTTTCCTTGTGGTCCAAAGAAATTTCAGCAACTTGGGAGGCTGAGGCAAGAGGATTGCAAGTTCAAGGCCAATCTCTACAACTTAGTGAGACCCTGTCTCAAAACAAAATATAAAAGGGGCTGGGGATGTGGCTCCGTGGTTAAGCTCCCTTAGGTTCAATCCCTGGTACCAACAAAATTCATTTAAAAATGCAAAATGTAAAAAGAAGGGCTGGGAATGCAGCTTGGGGATAAAGTACCAAAAAAAAAAAAAAAGAAAAAGAAAGAAAGAAAAAAGAAAGAAAGAAAAGTCATCTTCATAAAGTATGACCAAAACTTGTGACAAGACTTGGGCTTGCTTTAATCAAGCCCCACCCTTTGACAAAAGGCTGGGAGTTAAGGTGCCCCTATGGGAGGACAGTAAAAAGTAAATTGCAAGTCATTCTATGTAAAGGCACACTGATATTGATCTTCCTCCTTCAGGGAAATTGAGAGAAAGGCGTTGACCAAGTCTATGGTAGCATACCAATCTCCAGTACTGGCCACCTCTTCTTGGTATGGTGATAATGTTTGATGCCACAGGGCCTTGGCATCCAGCCTGCAATAGTCTGGTTAGCCTGCATGCCTGGGAGGCTTTTGACTGGCTGTGCTGGGGTGTTAAGTGGTCTGAAGCACTTCTGCTTACACAGGTCTTGAAAGGATAATGGTTATCTTTCAACAGAGACATTGTATTGCTTTTGATATGTAAATTATAAACCTTTTCATTGATCGCCTCTATATAAGTAAGACATATATGGTATTTTTTTACAATCACACTTGTTTTTAAACCTCTTCCTCTTGTCACTCCTTTCCTCATCTATTCTCTCTTCTTGCACAAGTAACTACTAGAATGAACTTCAGAAGTATGTATATGTATTTTCTAAAAAGTATCAATATAGGTTGGTATGGTGACACATGCCTGTAATCCCAGTGAATACTGAGGCAAAAGGATCACAAATTCAAGGCCAGTCTCAGCAACTTAGTGAGACCTTGTCTCAAAACAAAATATAAAAAGGGCTGGGTTGTGGCTTCGTGGTTAAGAAACCCTGGGTTCAATCCCTGGTACCAAAAAAATTCATTTAAAAATGCAAAATTGTACATTAAAATCATATATTAAATATATGTGTGACAACACATGATATAATTTTAATATATCATATTATTATAAATTTATATAAATCTCTTTTGGGAAAACCTGATGAAGATTTTTGAAACCAAGAATGGCTTTCAAGGCAATATGAAAGACGGGTTTTTATTATTTTTAAAAATATCTTTATTTATCTATTTTTTATGTAGTGCTGAGGATCGAACCCAGCATCTCGCATGTGCTAGGTGAGTGCTCTACCGCTGAGCCCCAGCCCCATGAAAGTTTTAATAGGTTCTGGGGTCTCTGGAATTGATTATCTTCTAATATGATTTCAAGGCACTAGCAACTCTACTTTTCAGTGATGACGAGAGCATTGATAGTCCATGGCAAGATGTAGCAAGAAATAAGAAGCATATCACCATTGGGTATTTGTAATAAAAAAAGGCAAGGTTCTGAATGACCATGTATTTGATACCTTTGAATATTTTGGCCCAACTAATGAGTATGATGAAACTGAGGGATTGTTCCTAACTGGGCTGGACAAAGTGAAGAAAGAAACCCTTGACCTCAGGGCTTTAAATGACTAGCTCAAAGTGCAGCATAAAATGATGTGAAAATTTTTGTCTATCCTGAAAGAAACCTCATCTCCTATAGTTGGAGAGCCAAGCCATGTGAAAACCAAACCCAGAATCTTAGCTTCCAGAAGACTGAATGATAAAGCAAGTTGAATGCCCAACCTTCTTCCAACAGGAAGTGAGCTTTGCACATTCACTGAGCCCTTACCTGGAACAAACAAAATCTGTACCTGTGATGCTGGACATGGGAATTTGACTTGGTGACAGCAGAAGTGAAGGTAAGTCAGGCAAGTGAGCATACAGGCAACACCCTTATTAGGGCTCTACTTGAGAGGGAGACCCAGTACTGACAGCAGAGGGTCAGGCTGGCATTGAGTACAAAGGGAGAGTTAGTTTTATTCATGTGAAAGGGAGGGCTGAGGTTTAGGAATGTTCCTTGGCTTTAGGTACACTGCAAAGGTGTTTTTCTTTTCCTGTGAGGGCACCTTAACTTAAGAGCAAGGCAAAGTCAGTTGTTTTTCCTGGAGCCAAATGTTAGTGTCTGTGTCAATGCTGCATCCTGTATAAACCTCTCTGCCTTGTGACAAGAATGAGCTGCTGTAGCTGTTCAGAGAACACATAGGTGGGAAATGGAAGTAACAAATCATGGCAAGTAACAAGTGAAGGGCCCTGGGAATTTTACATTT